CACCACTGCCTCGCTCTGATGCTTGCGTCAGCATACGTCACAGCCTAACCGGACGCAGGCCCTGCACGTCCGGTCACTTTCACTGTTTAGCGTCCGATCAAATGACCGAGGGCGACCTTCACTGCACGCCATTGACCGAACACGGCTGCTGAGTCTGGCCGCTTCTAGAACAGCGATCCGGTCACCTCGAGACAGCCCCTTCTCAACTCCAACTTTACCACCCTTGATCAAATGTGCCACCACCAAGTGTATCACCTTGTGTACATGTGTTAGCATATTTTCACAAACATTTTTCAAGGGTGTTAGCAGTCACTAGAATCTAAATGCATATACAATGAGTTAGAGCATCTAGTGGCACTTTAACAACCGCATTTCGATACAAGTTTCACCCCTCTTAATAGTACGACTATCGATCCTAAATGTGATCACACTCGCTAAGTGTCTCGATCATTAAACCAAAAAAGCTCCTATCAAGTTTCACCTTTGTCTTGAGCTTTTTGTTTTTCTCTTTCTTCTTTTTCAAGCCGAGCACTTGATCATCACCATGGTCACACCATCATCATGATCTTCACCACTTGCTCTATTACTTGGAATGTGCTACCTATCTCATGATCATTTTGATAAACTAGGTTAGCACTTAGGGTTTTATCAATTCACCAAAACCAAACTAGAGATTTCATAAAGAGTTGCCCATCCTCCCAATCCTTCAGCTATATGCTGATCATTGAAACACTGAGAACTACCTGAGTCCAGTAGCATATACACTGCCTTACTAGCCAGGAAGCCCCTAAACCTTATGGTTTAGATCCTTCTATGCCCTATAAAGCCTGCACTGATATTGCCACTAACTCATCCCCTGAGTCTTGATCATCACTCTCTGACACATGTTGATCAGAGTCACCTTCAGCAAGGAATTGCCAGACCTCTTCCATTGCATGTAAGGAGACTGTTGGTGGGCATTTATGGCCATGGCCCCATTTTTCCCCACACTTGAAACAAAGCCCTTTAGCTCTCCTATAAGATTTTAGGGTGCTCAGCTTGTCTTCAGAGGTCTTCACCTTGTTCTACTCGGTTCCTTTCTTGTCATCTTGAGTATGCATCACCGGCTTCACAGGAGAATAAGCAGATTGTTGCCTTGAATACTCATTTGACTTGGACCCACTTCTAGAATACCTCTTGGTAGTATAAGAGTGATCCCACTTCTTCATGTCTCTGACAGAGGAATCCATGAGCGCCTCTTCCTACAATAGAGCCAAAGAACTAGCAGTATCCAAATCCTTTGGCCTATGAATCATAATAACTGCACGAATTTCTTTCTTAAGCCCATCAACAAAATGGTTGGTTATAATAGAGGAAGGAAGACTTGGATCATGGACAAGTAATTGGTGCAAGATGTCACTGAATTGTTCAATGTACTCAGTAACAGTGGTGCTCTACTTGATGTGAAAAAGGTTCTAAGAAGATGGTTATGCTCATCCTTATCAAACCTATAGCACACAGAGGTGATAAAAGCATCCCAAGACATAGAGGCTATTTGGGTTTTCATGGTGTGGATCCACAAATCAGCAAAGCCTACAAAGTGCATGGTAGCTATCTTCACCCACTTGCTAAGATCTATTCCATAGACATCAAAATAGGTTTCAGCCCTCTGAACCCAAGATCTGGGGTTGGAACCATCAAATTTGGGGAAATCATAGTCGGGCAGAGCACCGGGAGAAAAGTAATCATCGAAACTATGGTCACAGTGCCTATGAGCTTCAACCATATGAGGAATAGCAGAGCTCGAGTGAAAGTTTTTCGCACCTGTGACTGGAGGCGGATCTGGAACGGTGTACACCATTCCAAATCCGGTGCTCCGATGCTGGGTTTCGTTGTGGTGGCCAAATTGACCAGGTGTAGGGTCAAGATGGCGGACTAGAGGGGAGGTGAATAGTCCTTTCTAAAAATAATCGCGTCCGCTAACCGTAACAAATGCGGAATTAAAACTATCGGTCTAGCCGATACTACACCCCTCTATCTAAGTTATCAAGCACCTTAAAAATATCCTAAACAAGGAACTAAGGTGTCGGGCTAGCAAGAGCTCACCTAATCAATTCTAGAGCAAGGTCACACAAACCTATGCACTAGTACTTTAACCAACCGGGAGAGCTCCTACACAACCAGTGATGCAAAAGCACAAAGCTCATAAGCTCACTAGCAATGCTCAATAATAAGGCTACACAAGCCAAATTAGAGAGCGCAAATCACTTAGCTACATAAACTAACCGATGCAACTAACAAGGCTACTCAAGCCAAATTAGTTGCACAAAGGAGCTACTTCTATGCTATACAAGCAAGAAGATAACTAGCAAGCTACACAAGCTAACTAATTACAAGAGCAACTACACAAGCACAATATATATGAATGTAAATACAAGCTTGTGTAAAGGGGATGCAAACCAACGGGAAGATAAGGATGACACGGTGATTTTTCTCCTAAGGTTCACGTATTTGCCAATACGCTAGTCCCCGTTGTGTCGATCGCTCACATGGTGGTTCGGCAGCTAATTGGCATCACACGTCAAGCCCACACATCAGGCACCGCAAGAACCTACCTATAAGTGAGGGTAGCTCAATGACATGCTCTACTAGAGTTACTCTTCGTGGCTCCCGCAGGGTGAGCATAATCCCCCACACACAATCACTTCTCCGGAGCACCGCACAATCTTCCTTGCGTGCTTAGACGGAGACCACCACCAAGCCGTCTAGGAGGTGGCAACCTCCAAGAGTAACAAGCACCATCGGCTTGCAACTCGATCACCTAGTGCCACTCAATGCACTCTCACAATGCAATCACACTAGAATCGCTCACTCACACAATCGGATGATCAATATCAAGCAAATGTAAGTTAGAGGGCTCCCAAGCACACCTACACAAGCCACCAAGGCTCAAAGGTGCTCAGCAAACAGCCCAAGGCCGAGCTCCACCTCTATTTATAGCCCCCAAGCCAAATAGAGCCGTTGGAACAAAAATGCTGGTTTCTGCGAGGGCACCGGACACGGTGGTGCCTGGCACCGGACATGGGGGTGCCCTCCCCAATGGTCGAATTTCAACGAGCCGTTGGTCATCGGACATTGGGCGGCGGTGCCACCGCCACAGGAGGGGAGGTGCCTTAGCCGGCCAAGTCCCAAAACACCCCTCTCTAAAATTTTAGGGCGGTGCACCGCCGTCACCATGGCGGTGACCATGACGGTGACCCGCTTGCTCAACCAACGAAACAACCAGTCTTAGGAAAAATGGGGCGGTGCCACCAGACAGGGTGGCAGTGCCCGCGGCGGTGCACCGTCACGCCTAGGGCGGTGCGCACCGCCACTTTCGGTGCCTGCCCTCACACGCTCTCGGCCAAAGCCGGGTGGTCACCGGACACATGGGGCGGTGCCACCGCCAGGGCAGGGCGGTGCCACCCCAACTCCTTCTCGGCCTCCTCAGTCGGTCACCGCCATAGGGGTGGCGGTGCACTGGACAGGGGGTGGCGGTGCCACCAACTTCTTCACATTTACAAATGTGCTAACACCACCAAATGTTCACCACCTTGTGCACGTGTGTTAGCTTTTCACAAACATTTCCCAAAGGATTAGTCACTCAATTCACCACGCCACTCGATCCTAACACGTATGCAAAGTTAGATCGCTCAAGTGGCACTGGATGACCGATATGCAAACAAGTTTGCCCCTCTTGATAGTACGGTTATCTATCCTAAACCTGGTCATAAACTTATCTACACACCTATGACCGGTGAAATGAAACGCCCTATAGGTTATACCTTTGCTTTGCGCATTCCATTCCATCTCCTCCAATGTTGATACAACACATGCACCAACCTTGATCGATAAATGATATGATCCACTTCATATCATCATATGACCGTATTGGTTCATCGATCTTGACTTCACTTGCTTTTCACCGTTGCCTTCGTCCATCGGCGCCAAGTCTTGCTCAAGCTTCACCGTCACGCGGTTCATCACTCCAAAGCCTCCAACTTGCCCTTCACGCTTGCAACCGGTCCATCAAGCCAAGTTTTGTCTTGATCTTCTCCACCTTAGTCACATGACTCCATGTCATGTCTCATATGCAATAATGAGCTCCTTCATCACATGTGTAAGCCTTGCAACATAGCCAAGCCATTTCACCTCCGTGGCATAGGTTGCTCACACATGATGTACTTGTGGACTAATCACCTCAGTATCTTACTCAAACACATATTAGTCCACCTAAGATTGTCACTCAATTACCAAAACCAAACAAGGACCTTTCATCAGGTGACGCCTCGAACGAGGGAGGCTCTAGATGAGCGGAGCCCGCCACCTTCTTCCCCGCGTCGGGTTTGGGATCCGAGTCGGGGTGCTCAATCGGAGATCGTGTGCTTCGACTGGTCCCCGAACAGCTGCTCCATATGCTCGCCGATGTAGTTCACCGCGTGAGCTCGACGACGTGATTGTTCACCTCGGCTTCCACAGCTCGAAATCCACCTTCGCAGACTTCACTTGCTCCATGGATTGCTGGAGATCGGCGATCCCCTTCGAGTTCTGGGTCAGCAGAGCCAGGATTTATCCCAGATGTTCCTCGGGTGAGGCCATCGACATGTGGCTACGGGTGCAGTAAGGGTGGAACGCCAGGATTCGAGATCTGATACCAGTTTGTCACCGAAATCAAGGAGATAGTGGTAGTGGTAGGTTCTGGTAGATTTCTCGGTCGCCGGCAACAGCTCGGCGCCGCCGTCGCCACAGCCTCTGGCTGGGTTCACCTTACAGAGTTCAAAACTTAGTTCTGAACTCTCGCATCTCGTCTTCTTTTACAAGGCAACATTGCCTGCCCGTTTCATGGGCTTAGCTGGGCCGACTTACTTCCATTCAGGCCCTGAGTACTTCTTGTTGGGCCGACTTACTAGATGACCGATATAGCTAGGAGTATGTTATAAGTAAGCAGAATATTCCATTGACCGAAGTGGCTCCGATCCGAGCTAGACCAGGAGGTCCTCCTTGCCGGCGCCGCCGACGTCGTCGGCGACCTTCTTGCTGCTCTTCGCGTCGGAGGCCATCTCCACGTCGTCGCCGGCCTGCTGCTTGCCGGCACCACCCGCGCCCGCTTTGCCGCCGCTGTTCCGGTAGATGGCGTACATGACCAGCTGCACGGCGCCCAGAAAGCTCCCGCACCCGTTGGGGATCTGCACGCACGCATCAACGAGATTCAATAATTAATCGTCAGTCCAAAACACATGCCACTTCGATTTCACAAGGCGTGCACAATTGAAGGCAGCGGCAGCTTGCGCATGGGCACTGCCTCGCCTCTTGGGCGCTGCCCATTACTCTCGACCACGCGCGTTGCCACCCGCAGCGTGCATGTGGCTGCAGACTGCGCGCGCGCTTGCCAGTTGCCATATTGCCATTGCACTCGGCCTTGCTCGAATCAGATATACCGGCAAGTCCAGGGCATCCAGATCGAGCCAGAGGCGGAGACAACGAAGCGCTAATAACGGCTAACCGACGCATCAATCAAACACCTAGAAGTAACAACTACTAGCCGCAGATTTTACGTGCCTAGCTAGCTATATATACGTTTCTGTCAAAATTAAAGGAGAGACCAGATGACTCTGACGACGAACTCTTGGCGTGCCGTGCTTACCGCGACGAAGGGGTCTCTGCCGAGCAGGCCGTAGACGAACCAGGACGTGCCGCACAGGAACACGGCCAGCGACAGCAGGAACGGCATGTACTCCACGCTCTTGGTCTTCACCACCAGCCTCTGCATGAAAGCACGCAGTCGATCGATCACCAAAGTTGCCTTGCCTGATGACGAGATATATATATATATATATGTATGTATGTACACACACACACACACACACACACCGTATGTACATGCAGTATTGCAGTGGAATAATCAATTAACCGCTCGGAAACGTACCATGATGGAGAGCGGCGAGGCGTACATGCAGATGGAGCAGACGGTGGCGGCGAGGCCGCACATGAGCTTCCGCCCCTGCCCGTGGTGGAGAGCCAGCATCGACACCAGCGCCACGGCGGCGAACACCGCCGCCACCGCCGACGCCAGGCCCAGCATCCGCAGCCGCGTCCGCTGCGTGGACGCGAACACCAGGAAGATCACCACGTACACGACCTCGATCGCCGCGCCCGCGCCGTTGATCGTCGACACCAGGATGTTGTTCGGGGACACGAACGGCAGCCCGTACCTGCATGCACCCGTGCAGGTGCAGCACATCCGAAACCCCATCAGCGCGCGTACGCGTTCAGGTGTACAGAGGGAGCCACGTGGCCGGACATGGGTCAACTGCCGTGTCGGGGATTCATCTCCATCAACAACCTCTTGGCGTGGCCCGTGGCCCGTCTAAACTTGTGACTTGTGAGCCTGGTCCTGGATGAGCGACACGGCTCACATACCCTGTTCTCGTTTCGTCACCACCTTGCACTGTCCCTTCCAGACAGGCAACAAACACATACAGGCAGACAGCAACACCATTCCCGTGGTGTCTAGTAGATCCTGGACTGACATCTAAGTTTGGTGCGCTTCACCGACAAGCTTTTTATGTGTCTGGACGACTAGGCAAGTTCGTCCATCATGGAATCTATGGTTTTGAATGTTACAAAGTGACGCGATTTACGTGGGAAAATTCCGTGTTATGCACAGTGTGGTAGTGTGTGTTTTCGCTGTTCTTTAGCAAACCAGTATACTAGTTCGTTCCAAAAAAAAAAAAGCAAGCCAGTAGTATACTTTTGACTCTGGAAATTGAAGTGCATGCGAACGAGCAGCAGCTTTTACCAAGCTGACAAGAGGCAGTTGAGGAGTGTCATGTTGTACGGCACCCCTGAGAAATCCTCCGTCGACCTCCTCTTGATGATCCTCCAGAAGGTAGGCCTGTGAGCCAAAAACAAAAATTTCAGCGGATCGTCAGTTTAGAGCTTTAAGCATGCAGTATGACTCAGTTGGAGAATTAACAGCTGAACTGCAACGTGTTTCGAGTGCATGAATGGAATATCACAAAGGGACAAAGCCAAAGACATCGACGTCGCAGATGCTGGATGTTTCCAGCTTAAAATAGAATAAAATAAATGAAGCAAAATAGGATACGCATACACACCCCCAATTATTCATGGAGTAGCTTGTTCTTGGGTACACCTTATTTATATATTTGTATAGGAAAAAGTAAAGTTGTGCGTGCTAGCAGTTTTTCTGTATGAACTGCAATAATCAGTCTATATTGGAATGTTTTTACTATGAATTTGCTCACTCCTGTTGCTAACAAATACCGAGGAATAGATATTGTGCTGCATCGAGTACTTACACTGGGGATAGGAAGAGGAAGAGAGCAATGACATTTCCTGAAACCCAGAACACAAACACAGTAAGTAAAAGAACCACAAGAGCATCATCAAAGTGAGGACACATGAGGAGCTGCAACACTCTCACCAGAAATTCCAAAGATGAACTTCACCACATCCTCCATCTGTTCGAACCTTATCTCAACTCTTTGGCTCTTTCCTGTCTGCTTGCACTTGTGAAACCTTCTTCTCAACTACTAGTACTAGATAGAACAAGGCAAAATTGAACAAGCTGAAGTCTGGTCTTCAGAGCACGCAGGAGGTAGATGTACGTGGACAGGTGCTCAATGTAAGTAACTGCCTAGCAAGAACAACTAAATGACAACAGTGTTGTATGTTTTTGAACGCAACAGTGTTGTATGTTTGTGTGGATGGACAGATGCATATGGATGGTTGCATGTATATATAGGAAGAGTTGGAGGGAGGAGGGCATCTCTATCTGGTGTCAGTCCATCCAGTCTAGGGGTAGAGCGCCTGATGCCTGCACCCATTGATTCATTGATTGCGTTCTTATCTTGACCGCCCACTGAAAACGAGTGCCCCGGCCGGAGTGGAGACGTACGTGGTGCGCCGGGGCAGTGAGCAGTGTGGCTTCCTTCCAGCACTATCAGATGAGAATGAGATGCCGGTGTTGTCATTATTTCTCACCACAGTGGTCAGAGAGTTTGGCAACAGGATGGATCCAGCGTCCGGTCCACTAGCTCATAGAACTTATACTGACCAAGCATTCGTGTGCTTTTGTTTTCTTGATTCAGTATGTGTTCGCATCTATTGGTCAATCCGGCCGGGTGTTCCCGAAAACCGGCATGGCTGTTTTTTTCTAAACCAACTAGGCCAATTTTATAACTTTGTCAAAAGATGTAATTAGACTCCACCATTATGAAATACAGATAGAAAACCCAATTTAGATTACTGACGAGAGAATTACGTGTTTTGGAAGATCCACACCCGTGGAAGCCGGCAGGCGGGTGTTGACAGCCTAAACTAAGTTTAGAGTTATTTTTTATATGGAAACCGTAAAAGTTTCAGCTCCTAATGGGGCTAGACCTCTGCACCCTTCAAATATGGATAATGCTTTGACGAGGATGTCCGTCCGGACACCCCCGTTCTTAGGCCTATGCATCGATTGGGCCCAATAGGCAACGCGTCATTCTTACACTCCCGAATGTTTTCCCGACTCGCGACATTACCGCTTTCACCGCATCGTCCGCCCCCCAGCGGTAGCGATGCGCCATCCGCCCGCCTACTTTGCCTCGCCGCCGCACCCTATCCCGGGCCGCGTCGCGCCACGCCCCATCCGCGCGCCACGCGGGACGTCCACTGCCGCGACCCATCCTCCTCACTCGTCGCGGCCATGGCGTGCAAAGCGCCACCACCACCCCAACCAACTCGGCGTTGCGGCTGCCGCGCGCCCACGGACAGATTCAGTGTGCGTGGTGCCGAGGAAGGCGAGAGGACGTTGTGGTGGTGTGGGCTCAGACGACGGCTCCAGCGCGGCGTAGAACGGCGACACTCGCTAGGCTGCATCCACGAGATGGTTGGCGTCGTGGTTGTTGTCATTGGGCACTTCCTAGATGCAACGCAGACTCCACTCAAGGTCGGGGACGCCATGGCTCCTTCCGGCGTGCAGCGTCTTCGATGCCATGGCCTAGGGTGATGATTCGCGCCGCCTTCCTGCTTCCCCCCTCCCCTCCCCCCTGCACGCGCGGATTCACCGCCTCCACCACGTCTCTATCCGCCTGCCAAAGCCACTTCCGAGGTCCGTGCCACCAATGAACTCTGCACCGGCGACCTTCGCGCCACTCCGTGGCATCGAGCTCCGCGGCGGCAGCGACCTCCGTATGCTTCATATATTTCATCTAGATGTTGCATGTGTTTCATTCGGATGTTGCAAAAGTAGATCTGATATTGCATATATTGCAATGGCTATACACGTATGTTGCAAATATATATTTCAAATGTTTCAGCTATTTCAGACTTACGTTGTAGTGCGTTTCATGTGAATATTGTAAAAGTAGATCCGGTGTTGCATATATTGAAAGGACTATACACATATGTTGCAAGTGTATGTTTCAAATGTTTCATCTATTTCAGACGTATGTTTCAAGTGTTTTATTTAGATGTTGCATATGTTGCAGTGGCTATACACATATGTTGCAAACGTATTTTCAAATGTTTCACCGATTTTTAGACGTATGTTGTAATAAATACTTCATGTTGCAAGTGCATGCGTAGCATGCAGGCGCATAGCATGTGAAGCAATAGGGGGCCAGCCCTATTGAGGGCATTCCATTCAATTGCATTTGTCAGTACAAAATTTTCATTTGATCTCTTTATCCTACTTTTCCAACCCTATGTGCTGTTCTTCTCTAGTCTCTATGGCATGAGAAGGCACTTACCGGGTCTGTCGAATCTAGGACACACCGACATGCATTTTTTTCGACGAGGTCACTCCCGAACAAGCGTTGGCATATTAACAAGTCTGTTAGGCCGATTTTTGCAAAGGAGTTGCAAGGTGCATCCTATGAGCTGTATACGGCCGACGCGATCGTGTGACGGCCCATTTTGGTGTCGACGACAATACCCTTTAAGTTTATGGTAAATGTTGCCTGCTTTATTTACGCAATGCAAATGATGCAATTAGAATTAGTCTAAGCAAAGCCCTTTTCGTTTCAGGAAAGCCCTTATCATTCTGTTTTTCTAGTTGGATCCGTGCGAAACCCTTCGAAACTTCTGAAGACCGAAGATACTGAGGGCAGTCCCAATGGTGTATTAATGATGATTTCTATCCTCATTAAATGATTTGTCACGTAGATAAAACGCTGACATGGCAATGTAATTAATGAAGAAAAAAACAAAAATCATAGAAATAGGTTCCTCATGAAGAAATCAGGTCTACTCTTGACCTAATGCACCAAGAAACCATAAAATCGTCATTGGGGAGAAACCACAATTTTCTAGGGAGCTCGTGTCGCACTCCCATTGGAGAAAGAAGATAGAGTTGGAAGAGAGAAAGAGAAAATAATTATTACTCATAGAAACCATGAGTTGGAAAACAGTATTTTTTAGTGCGGTATCCTATATTATAGAAACTACTAGTTTCTTTTATTGAGACTGCCCTGACAGGCACTAACTCCTGACGGAGCAGCAGATCATTCTGGGCGGCGCAATTAATCGGCAATTACACTTGATACTCTACAATCTCAATCAAAGTGATTTCTCATGATACTCCTGAACGATCAGCAGCAGCCTGTTTTCAAGGAATTGAGTTCTGGTCTTTAAGGCTAGATACTGAACGATGCCCATCGAGGATCCGTGTGCACGCACGTACAGTACACAGCAAGGTCAGCCGTGAACTGGCACAGGTAGGAGTATTTTACTGGCCATCGATCGGTCTCCTATACGGCCGCCATTCAACGCACGTCTAAGTACGTGGACACCTAATACGCCGCCGTGCACCCAGCAAAGGTATTGTTCGCTTTATTCGTTGCACAAGTCTTGTTCGAGAACATGCACACGCACTGGCGCACGTACATCTCTCAAAATAAGTAACGTTTTAGACTTCTAAACATCTTATTTGATTATTCGTCTTATTCAAAAATTTTATATAAATATTATCTATATTGTTATGACTTATTTTATCAATTGATATTAATGATTTGCTTATTTTATAATTTACATAAATATTTTGAATAAAACAAACAGTCAAATAAGATATTTGAAAGTAAAAAAAAAGTCACTTAATTTGGGATGCGTGCATCTTAGCGTCCAGACGAAAAGAAAGCTGTCGTCGTCTCACTGCCTGCAGATTATACAGCAATCCAGACTTTGAGCTGCACAATAATGCTGCGACGGCGAAAACATATCTGAATTTCTGATGACTGATCGATGTCGTCTTGTCGCCAAGCTGGCAAACATGAACAGAAGGTCAGGACTCAGGAATCAGGATGGGGTCAACCTCACCTCGATCGACACATAAACTGCGAATTAGGAGTGTGCGTCAGACATGCAGTATATGCACCTTACGGGGCCAGCTATACGTATGCATACGTCCATCAGCAAAGGATATATATACTTGCAACAACACCCGAGGGCTGAGGCATCAATGGCTACCGAGAGTCCGAGATGTAGGCAGCAGTAGGCTAGCCACTGCCCCTCCTGGTCCATGTGGCGATTCTATCCGATCCCGAATACGAATATTGACTATTTGATGACTCCAACCAGTCCAGAATTCCTGCCATTTTCGTCACTCCGTAGGAATTTTCTTTCTTTTGTCTCTGTATGCATGCAGGTGCAGCTAACTTTGGATCGCACCATGTAGAAGAAGGCGGCGGCACTAGCAGTTGAGTGGCATCGGCAGAATATTCCACTCCACCGGACGGCGACTACCTCACACCTCAGTTTCGCTTTCACCTCGCCCGTGGCCTTGAGCGCCATCGAGTTGGGGACTAGAAGTTGGATGCTGGAACTCGGCTAGCGGGTCCTAGTACCATTCAAAGCCGGGTCTTTTCTTCATAATGGATTTTTATTAATCCGGACTCTCTATCCACGAAGAATATATACGGCCAAAAGAATACAAGAGCATTTAGAATCATACCTCAACAAAGAGAAGAACACACAACCGAAAAAAGAAAAAAAAAAAAAAAACCACGATCTCGACACACCTCTGCTTTCCGACATCCTCTCTCGAAACGGCCAGATTATGTGAGTCGAAGTCGTCAAGTCGTCGCCATGTTGAAACAAATTAATTAGCGAAGTAGTGATATATCTCTCTTAGGTCTCATTCGGTTCTCCAGTAATGAGTTAGAATAGTTCACTAATTTACTCATTTGTATAGTGTTAATGAGTCGAAAATAGTTCAGCACCAATCCATGCAAAACCGGACGGACCCTAATTGATTTCTTAAGTGTGATCCTTGAGTACCAAGAGGTGAAACGCATGCAACAGTGCCCATCTGGAGTGAATTCCCCAGCCGAATGTGTGGTAAATCGAGAAGTTGTTCGTTCTATCTTTTTCCCAAGTGCACAGTGCAAGAAAGCCAAGAACTAAACCATCGAGCTGGCTAGCATGAGTATGTATGTAATCATGCAAAATATGGTGCCACACTATGACACTAATCACACGA